CCACCTATCATGCCATACATGTACATGAGCCACTGTTACGTATATATTTCCTTCTACTTTAATAAAGCACTGAGGTGAGCTACAGGACAACCTATCTCTGGGCTTTGTCTCAACTGGAAATTAAAATGTGAAAAAGAAAGGCAGTAGCAATGACTCAGAAGTGTTTTCCATTTTTTATATCCAAAACCTATTAGTGAGTATCAGAATGCTGAACAACCTAGGCTGCCAAGTCAGTCTGTACAAATGAGGCAGGAGGAAGAAAAAGTATCCTGAACTACAGTTCAAAGGAAAAATGGCTGGATGAAGCTTTTATTATGAAAGAATGTATATTGTTTTAAAATAAGCATCAAATAATGCCAGCTCCTATTCTCTGCAAACTGTGCACACATCTCTATTAGTAGAAAGCTTTGGTTTTCTTTTTCATATTTATATATATCAGTTAAAGGCTTGAAAGTGCTTGCTTTCACAAAGGCCCAGAGAACTGTTGGCAGGCAGAGCTATAACTCCAGTGCTATGGAGCCTACATGAAAATTACTATATGCTAGACAAGTGTAAAATAAAACTTGCAAGCCATAGTATCTTTTAAAAATAAACTCAGTCATTAGATTAGTGGTTGTGTAAGACAGTTCTCCAAACAGTGAGCAAACTAATATCCAACATGCCACAATTCTTTGATTCAGCATTTACTTAAAGATGTTTTGTCAAGCCCATTTCTGAAATGATTAGCTTCTGCAGGTGCAAACAAGACCTTTAAATGTTATTTGAACATAGATTTATGGGTGATTCATTTACCAGAAATTGTGTGAATTTTTCTAAGTTGCAAATTATCAATATGTTGAATAAATATGACTCCCTCTACTTAAAAGCTGTGCACAAAATGTTTTCACTGCTATCTGAAGCGTTTCTAAAAACTGCGATTTCGAACACCGGAATAACATTAGCACCACCTAGAGGCATACATGAAAACGACGCTTATCCAGAATGAAATTGAAAATGTCTGGTTTATACCTCTTTAGTTTCAGAAAGTTCCCTTTAGCCTATGGTTTTGAGGGTTATTTCGAATAGAAAGTTGCACTCCAATGTCTTCATTCAACATGAGATTTTTAATGCAAAATAAAAATGTTTTATTTGCTTATAAGCAGCCTCAAACAAAACCTAAGAAGAAAAAAAACAATGGGGGAGGGGGGCGGTCTCAAAAAAAAATTGTCCAAATTTTTGTTCAATTAAAATGGACAAGATTTCCTCTTCAGTGAAAGAACAGACCAACAGCACCATTTGCTGCTTTTTTACTATTTAAAAAGAATTAATGAATTCCTATTAAAACTGTTATCTTAGTATTCCTCAGTTGGAACACAGTTAATCAGATCTCTCTGTGAAGTGAACTCTTTCTCTTGAGAACATTCCCACAAATAACCAGTATCAGGATCTCTTTGAGGCTTAGAAATACTTAGCCTGATTGCCTCTGCCTTTTTCTTGCCCTAAATCATGCCAGTGACTCCTAGTCATCCTGTGTTTGTCTAGTATATTTAGGTCCTTTATTTCGTACAAATGACTTTCAATTTTTCAAAAATGTTTTGCAGTTGATGCCCAATACATAACCTTCTGTTTCATGCTATTGTATTTTCCCTCATTTCTTTCCTCCATTGTCAAACCTATCTAATCTTTCTAGCACAGTACTTCAACTCTTCACCCTCTTTAAAAAGTTTTGAAATTTATTTTGTCAAAAATGTCACTAACAGATGACTAACAGGTTTACATTTTCCTCTCCAAACAGTTTGCTACCTTTCTCAAAATGTACCCATTTGAAGATAAGACCTTAAATACTTGGCAGTTTCTAATTATACTTTATGCTAGCCAACTAAATTCTTAGTTACTATACATGTATTTAGCTTTTCTATAGTGTTGTAACTGTTTATTAAAAACTTTTTCACAAAATATATTATTCTTCTCAGCTCAGAGACTATTTCATGAAAAAAAAAATTGTTAAACTTCATACTTCAGCTTTCACTAGGAACACTGTCCCACTGCTACCAGTATAATTTGCTCTTCAACCCATACTGGGAAATTAAATCCAGCCATCATGACAAACCACTTCACAGAATTTATCTTTCTAATATTAGGTAGTCAGATCACCCCTAACCAAACAAAATGAGACTCAAAGCTTTCCATAGGTACCTACCATGATATAATAAACCTTTGAGATTTTTCTACAAAGACAAATCAAACCTACTCAGTTATTTTAAGGTTTGTATCTTACTGCAATTATTTCTAGTCACAGAATCACAGAATATCCCGAGTTGGAAGGGACCCACAAGGATCATTGAGTCCAACTCCTGGCTCCACACAGGTCTACCCAAATATTCATACCATAGGACTAAAAGCACAATCCACACACTTCTTAAACTCTGACAGGCTTGGTGCCATGACTACTGGTGCCATGACTGGAGAGCACTGTTCCAGTGCACAACCAACCTTTTGGTAAAGAACCTCTTTCTGATATCCAGCCTGAACCTCCCCTGTTGCAGCTTGACACCATTCCCTTGGGTCCTATCGCTGATCACTAAAGAGAATAGGTCAGTGCCTGCCCCTCCACTCCACCTCATGAGGAACATGCAGACCGCAATGACTGTGATTCAGCCTCCTTATCTCCAGGCTGCACAGGTCAAGTGACCTCAGCCACTCTTCATACATCTTCTCCTCTAGGATCTTCACCATCTTCATCGCCCTCCTCTCGACACCCTTCAACAGTTTCACATCTTTTTTGTACTGTGGTGCCCAGAACTGCATGCAGTACTTGAGGTGAGGCTGCACCAGTAGAGCAGGACAATCACTTCCCTTGACTGACTAGCAATGCCATCCTTTGCATTAGGATCAAAACCCTTTTGGTATTTTTTTCTAATCTTATCCAACATCCTCGTATTACATTAGGTATAAATTCCTTTTCTACACATACTCCAACAGCTATCAGTGTTGTTTTCTTTTTCCATGTTACCTTGCTCTTTCTAATAGATACTTACAAGCATATAGACAACTAGTGATGGGACTAGAGGGAATGGACTCAAGTTGTGCCAGGGGAGGTTTAGGTTAGAAATTAGGAGACATTTCTTCTCAGAAATAGTAGTCAGGCAATGGAACGGATTGCCCAGGGAAGCGGTGGCATCACTGTCCCTGGGGTTGTTCAAGGAAAGGTTGGACTTGATGCTTAGGGACATGGTCTAGTGGGTGATATTAGTAGTAGGGTGATGGTTGAACCAGATGATCTTAAGGGATCTTCCATCCTTAATGATTCTATGATTCTATGTAGCTTAAGTCTACCATGTATCTTTGTTGACACATGAATGCCTCACATAGTCACATAAGACAGGTATTACTCAAACCCCTCTGTTTCTGCCTACATGCATTAGTGTTTTTCTGAACTGGCTGAGGCAGGTAAACACACATTTGATAGCTAAGTATTTGTTGCAGGATCCTAGAAATGTATATATATATATATATTACTTAAATAAATATGGGAATGTGATAGCTGAGTTCCTGATCCTGAGAAAACTAATTCATAGCAGAATGGAGGTCATCCAGTCGCACCTCTAACCTCTCCTTCACCATCACCATCACCACCACCACATCTGCTGGCTCAGCTCCGTATAAAGACAACGGGGTGCATCCCTATTTCTAGATAAAGCTTAAGGATTTTAAGTCCTGATTGCTACATACAGGTGACTTATTCTTCAATCTAAAAATGTTTAAATTTATGAAAATGGTGTCATTCAGGATATACAGTTTTCTCACTGGCTGGATTGGGTAGTCCTTTTCTTAGCACAGAGGTTATGACACCAGCACTCACCATGTTTAATTCTAAACACAGCCTCAACAGGTGACTATTAGTGTCACCACATGGCAGGATGTGGAAAGGTGACAGCACCAAGACCATTTGTCCACTGCTGGGCGCAGCACAAGATGAAGGAAAGACAATGCACTTCCCCACACCTCTCCTAGCATACACAGTACCCTGAGCACTGGAAGCTGAGGCTCATCAGAAGCCTCACTGGCCCCATCAGCAATGTATGTCCCAGTGGGTGAGCATTGGAGACCTTCTCCCAGTGTGCCCGGCTGGCTGAGGACTCCCTCAACATGTTCACGTGCCTCAGGTCACCCCATGTTCATGTGTCCCTTCATCAGTCAAGGCTGGGGTGCAGCCTCCAGCTGAAAATGCATGGGGAAGCATTGTCTATGTCCTGCAGTGGGTTTCCCTGTGTCAGTCAGAAAGTGACCAGTGGTAGGACCCTCAGGAATGGTGTCAAGCTGCGGCAGGAGGGGTTCAGGCTAGATATCATGAAGAGGTTCTTCACTGAGAGGGCTGTCGCACACTGGAACAATCTCCCCAGGGAAGTAGTCACAGCACCAAGCCTGTTGGAGTTTAAGAAGCATTTGGACTGTGCGCTTAGTCACATGGCCTGAATTTTTCGGTTGACCTGTGTGGTGCTAGGAGTTGGACTCAATGAACCCTGTGGGTCCCTTCCAACTCGGGATATTCTATGATTCTATGATTTGCCAGAGCAACTGCAGGGATGTTTATGCTCTCTGAGATGCCGGGGTGGCATGAGCCACGCAGGTTGTGTGTGCAGACAGGCAGAAAGCAGAGCATATGCTAAGAGGATAGTAAGGCAGTGAGGCCATGATCACAAGAGACACATAGGAAGAGCATGGTATCAATTTAAAATAAATGGCCAGTGGGAGCAAAACACTAAGGACTTCTTTAAAGAAATGGGATACTGAGGATATTTGAGCAATTGCACGCAGCTGGGGGCACGCAGCGAAGGGCTAATAACCACTCATGGACAACACTTAATACCCTCTCTCCGCGCCCCCCCTCCCCTCCCCGCCATCTTGGTTAAGGGCAAGACCTTCGCTCGAGCCTGCGGGAGGAGGCCGGTGACGGGCATTTCCGCCCCAGCCCAAGATGTCTGCCACGCCCCCCTCCATTCCACCTCCCTCCGGGAGGGCGGGGCGGGGCGGGGATGGCGGCGCCCTGCCCTTGGTGGGTCCCCGGTGGGGGTCGTGCAGGCGGCCGGGCTTCGGGGACGGGTGTGTGTGCCCCCGAGGGGCCGGAGCCGGAGCGTGTGTTTCCAAGCCAAGGAGGAGTCGGTTTGGGAGAAGGCTGCGCGAGGGTGCCGCGGTGCGGTGCTGGTAACGGCTGCCTTCAGGTAACAGCGCGCCCGCTGGGGCCCCGTGTGCCTGGCACAGCCTCACAGAACCCCCCTGAGGCAGGGCGTGTGCTGCCAGCTCTCCGTGAGCTTCCTCCGCTCTTAAAAGAGTATTAAAGGAAAGAAATGACTGCTGTTCTTCTATATATCAGTATATAAATCTGATACAGAAACACGTCTTCTGTTAGACTGTCAGCCTCTGTAGAGGCGTGGAGCTGCTGCTCAGCTTTGGGCGAGATGCCAGTTTAGCTACCAGTGCCCCGTTTGACCAGCAGTATGGACAGCTGTTATGGCTTGTCGGTTTTGCTGGTATTCGTGGATCACAGCTGGTGTGTAATGGTCCTCTGCCTTCATGAAGTCTTAACACGTTTTCACTCCAAGGTCACCTGGCAAGGGATGAGATCCTTCACATCTTATAAAACAGGGGGTCCTGGTGGAGGAGAGTGGCACAGATTACTTGTAGCACCCCAGGAAAGGATTCAGCTTCTTAGGCATTGCTGCAGGCAGTACTCAGTTGGGTCATGGCAAGCCCCCTGGCCACATCTCCAGCATCAGAGCACCACCAGTCAGGAGCAACACACCTTGACTGTAGCCCAGGTGAGTAGGTAAGAGGAACAGGGGGAGGAATTTTGGCAAAGGAAAGGGGATGGAGGAAGAGTAGGAAGTGGCAGAGAAGTTCCTTGTAAGAATCCTTGTCAAGAAAAATGGGTTCTGTTCGATCCATTAAGTGTGTGGTTTAGGTCACTTGAGAGACAAAGTGGCATCGTATGCTTGTCAGGCACAGTTCCTGCAGCTCATGGGACTTGAGCAGTGTGATAGAACGGGGCACCCTGGCCGAGGGTCCATTTGGGAATGCAGGACTCATGCAGGAGTCTTATTTACTTGACGCCTGTGACTTACAGCCTTATGGTCAGGCTGTTGAGTGATCAGCTGACAGCTGTGGCCGAGAGCAGCTTATTAATCCATGCCTGGTGGGAATTTGACAAATACATCAATAAATAGATATCAGTGATTTATCACTGTTTTGTTAATGCATTACATTGGGTATATGCATTATTATTTCAGGATAATATTGAATTTAGGGCTCACTGAGCAAGACTTCACACAGAGGACTCACTGCTTAAACTCTAAGGAGCTTTCTGGCTGCTCATGAGGCTTTTTTTCATACTTTAGACATTGTGGTTTGAGACTTTTTTCTTCTATTTAGCGAAAAAAAAAGAATCATAAAGAATCATACTGACAGGTGTTAATTTGGATGTCTCAGAGACAGAGTGAGGAGAGGATCTTGGTGTATACAGTTTGACTGTGTGGCTTTTATTTTATTTGGTAATTTTCAGGATTTTCAATGAACTAGCAAGTCAGGCTGGCTAACTTTAGCCCTTGTTCTTTAATCATTTACTTCCTTTCTCATTTTTGTTTATAGGATTTTGTATGCTAGTTGGGGGGAAGGAGTTAAATCCTTCCCTGTTCCTTCTTTTCCCGTGATGGAGTCTTTTCTGACCAAAGAACACTTCACTGAATGCTTCTGTAGAGTTAGTCAGATTCCAGAAACCACAGCACTGATGGCAAAAATATTGTGTAGGTTTGAATAATATCAAATGTTCAATTAAATCAAGTGAAACCAGACATTTCAATTCCAAAAAAGTTGTGAAAAACAATTTGTCATTCATTACTAAAATGCTAGGGTTGTGAAATCCTGAAAGTCATTAAAAGATTTTAAGCTTCTAAAATGTTATTTTTGTGGCTTATTCTATAACTGAAATGTATTTGTGTTCCTCAATGTGTCTTTTAAATAAGATGTCTGTTACGAATTAGTGGTGTTTACAGGCTCTTGTCTGATGTGGTGGTGTGGTAGTCTCAGTGCAACATGTAAATATGCAGCTAATATGACAAGTATTGAACATTATGATCCATAACAGATACACTGGATAAATGTGAATCTTCTCTTTAAAGAGAACATGGTGAACTTGCCTACAATGCCCTTGTTGTATTGACATCTATCGGAATCTTTTTTCATTCGCTCCCTCTTTCTGTTTCATGTGTGGATTGTTGTTTTTTGTTTTGTTTTGTTGTTTGTTTTTTGATGGTTTTCCTTTGTTTCTTTTTCTTTTCTTGAATAACAGTGTCTCCCCTAAATCACCGTCAGGGACGAGAGTTAACTTTCTTCTTCCGTTTGTGATGAGGATCAGTTTAATCTTTGTCTCTTAACCTGCTGCTAAAGCCTTGTGTCCTAACCTAACCTGCTTGGCTCCTCCTAGTGGCGGTACGAGTGCCTGAGAGCACACTGACCTGCGGCAGTTGCTGTTAATGAGAAGCAGGCAGGTGAGCTGAATTGATGTCTATTTTCCTGCCCCTGCACTGCCTCCCAGGGTGTCCCAGCTGTGCAGAGAAGAGATCTGGGTTGACACTCACTCTTTGGTTGAGTTATCTTTTTTGAAAAAAATATTCTGCTGTAAGAAAGCACTTAAACACGTAACAGTTGTTTGTTTGTTTGTTTGTTTTTTTTTTAATACCGATTGCAGTAAATGTATCTGTGAATGTTTGTAACTGAATTAAAGTCAAGATTTTTTTGTACTGAAGTTCATACAGAAGCCTTGACTGGTAGGTTTTACTGACATGATTTGCTCTTAAAGTACGTTCATCATGACTCCTGGTTTCATTAGTGATTAAGTTTAAAAGATAAATCTTCCATTTCTTAAGCTGCCTACACTCTTTGTATAAGTTCATAGAATAGACCAAGACTGACAGCATCTATTAGTATTTATTGATTGAGAGCACCATTTAGTACTGTTACTGTTAAGTTATTCTGGTTGCAAACATTGTCTCGCAGCTTCTGTGTTCCTAAGTATTTGCAATGTAGTACAAGAACAGCTTAATACAATATCATAAGTCTTTTGACATTTTTAACCAAAAAAGCACACGTTGTACTGCCTCAAAAGACACAGTTGCACATGATCCTGAAATACTGATAATTCTTGCAAATATAGCATCTGTGTCTAAAGAGTTGTATAAACAACATTCGCGTTTTGGAACTTAGGATGTGTCCCTATTAATGTTTTAGAAGTGTGTGGGATTGTTCTGGTTGTTCAACCTCATTTTCTTTTTCCTATATATGCTTCTCTCCTTTTCATGAACCTTTTGAGAATGTGAGGAGGATGCTAAGTGAAAGGACTTAAGCAGACATTTTTTCTATTTAATTCTCACTACTTTTATTCAGTATTCTGTTTTGTTTGTTTTAGGTGCCTTTACCTTGTATAGGAAATGTAACCTTGATCCATAGAAGATTGACAAGGTGTTAGCAGTTCTTCATCCAGTGCAAGGAAGATGGGATGTAATGGACTCTGCTCTTGAATCATTAAATAGGTGTGCTGAATCCTTCTAAAGCTGGTATTTATCAAGACACTGTTTTTTTCCTCTCAGTTTGTGGTAGGAGTTTTCTTGTTTTGTTTCCTGTACCACCATCTCTAACAGTCAATATCTTTGCTTGTTTAGGTACAGTTGGTAAATTCCAGTTTTTCTTTTGATTATGAAAAATTGTTCTGTAATTAAACCATACATCTGTCCATTGCTTCAGGGTTCTGCTCCAAGGGATTGGATTTATCTGATAATAAAATGTGGTAGGAACTGCCTACATATTGCCTCCCCTATGTTGTTCCACTGCATCCATGTTACATAAAGCATTGTCACTTTTTTAAAGTGTTGAACTTTAAAGTGTTGACGTTCCCAAACGATGTCTGTGGGATCCCAGTACTCACCAAATTAGTAATAATTGCCTCTGTGTTCACAGAATCACAAATTGGGTTGGAAGGGACCTCTGAAGATCATGTAATCCACACCCCCATACTGAGCAGGGTCACCTAAAGCATATTGCACAGGATGGCATCCAGGTAGGTTTTGAATATCTCCAGAGGAGACTCCACAGCCTCTCTAGGCAACCTGTGCCAGTGATCTGTCTCTCTCATGGTAAAGTGTTCTTTGTATATTACTTATGGTCATGTATCTGCTATACTAGTGTCCAGCTGGGAGAGTTTTGTAGTTTGCCGTGCTCTTCTATTTCCTGGAAACATCGCTCTGGCAGGGTAGACAATTGAAGAAATAATCTATCTGCTAAACTGAGGAATGCTACTTTGAAAGTTGGATTTATTAAATCTAGTCATTTTTTTCTAGGACAGAATAAATTTCCTGTTTAGATATGCTTTGCGTTCCGAATCTGGAGCAAGTATCTTAGACTTCGTGTTTTTAGATGGCTGCAATGTAGCATGCCTGGAGTGTCTAATGCTTGTTGGAAAATTGTCTGATGTGCACTTGTATTATAAGAATGTGACTTAAGCAGAGGCTTAAACCCTTTAATGTAAAAGAAATCTGGGAAACTTAAAATGCCTAACATGTTCTAGTATGACTTGAGGCTTTTCTGAGAGAGGTCTTGATAGTGAAAGCCAAGGAAACAATGTTTTGGGTTGTGGTTTTTTTTTTTTTTGAACATCCTCACAGATGTTCAGGGCATTTGAGTAATTCCTCAAAGAGATGACCTTTAAAGCTAAGTTAACTCAGGGTGCTGACAAGATGACTACCCTGAACTTGCGTAATCTGTTTCTCCAAGTGAAGTATCATCTCTTTCCATCTTCTCAGAATGGACTGCTAATTCATTTATGTTGGCTCTTTGTCTCTAAGCGAAACACAGCTCTTGTAATACAGGAACCTCTTTTAATGAATACTACTGTGATAATTTTAGTTTGTTTTGTTTTCCCTGTTCTCGTGGATTGAATTTCTTCCTGCCACCCTTTTCCTTAGCATTGCATTGCAGACTTTAAACAAGCAGGTAGTATACTGTTTCTTAGATCTAGGTAACTCCCTGAAAGTATTCTTGCACTATATGAGAAGACTTTTTGTTTGTTTGGCATAGCTTTGCTGCTGCTCGTAATATTTTGAGGGAACACTGCAACTGTTTTGAGAGATTGGATATTATGATGAAAAGTGTTCACTGTACGTGACTTACTAAACCAGCACCCTGATCTTCACTATCATCTCTTTCCAGAGACTGCACGTGATATAGTATATATTAGACAAGGTCTGTGAAGGGAGGTAATCTTCTTTTATTAGACTATCTTATAATGGGATAAGGTGCCAGGCAAGCTTTAGGTCACACAGTGACCTCAAGAGCTTATGTGCCTAGATGCACATCATGTCTTTTTTCCAGCTATATCAGTTAGTCTAATAAAAGGTATTACATCTCTATAGGAACATTGCCAGACTCGCAGTCTTTGTGGTATAAGGCTGCAGCAACATGGCAACTGTCATCAAAGCTGACCAACGTGTTATTCTGTGTACTGTTTGCAGTTCCCTTCCTCTTGCTTGTCATTTGCACTTTTTTCAGTTCTAGGGTTTTTTATATTCAAGATGTGATGAAGTCTGCTTTAATCAATGTGATCTTTTCATTAAGTAAATTTGGAAACCAAATTTAATTTGACTGCATTGAAATGGGGACTCTCACTTTGGAATACCTCTGCTATGTTTCATCATCGCTTTGGTGGATGTTTTAATAAATGAGACCCAGGTTAATAACTCTGGGAGCCTAAAGGTCACTCATGCTTTATGTATAAGCATGTATAATTTATCAGTATACTTGTCACACTAGTTTTGCTTTGCTTTAACTTACTGGTGTTCACAAGCAGCAGAATGCTTCATGGGATCACCTTTATTGTTGCCCTTCATTTACTAAGTGAGGGATACTAGAAACTTGTTCATGATGGCTATTTTGTGCAGGATGTATTTCCTGCTTGAGGTGTGTAACTAAGAGCAGCTTAACTGGTACAGTGTTAGGATGTGTCAAAATAATGATCCCTTAGCTTTCAGTGTTCTCTCTAGATCTTTTCTGTTTTGAGGAAAATATATTTTTCTTCATGGAAGTGAAGTTTTAAATTATCATTTTGAGGACCTTGGTATTATTTACAAAACACTTTCTGTCAATGTTAGGCTGTTATAAGAGCTACTGAAATATTTCCTTTAAGCTGTCAGGGGAAAAAAAAAAAACTTTGGAAGGAAGTTCTTGATACTGAACAGAAACAAATGAGGCATCAACAGGTCTGAGGCAGTGACTAGCTGGAGCTGCTGAGCAATGCTAAAGGAAAACTAATTTAAAATGGGTGTGATTATGTCCAACTTCTTTGACATTGGTATCAGCTTGCAGTTGCGTACTGTATGTTTTTATAAGAAATATTCTGGTTTAAAAGAATAAGAACATCAATTCTTATATGGAGTTCCTTGCTTATACCCTTAATGTCTTTCCTCTTCTCATAAATGAGTGTGTGCATCTTGTATCAGTATGACATCTGTCTAGGCAGCTAAAATGATCAAGTTGAAGCCAGCAGGACTTGTTTGCCATGATGGTTTTTATACTGTTATTCCCTACAGTACATCTGTTCCATTAGCAATAGAAAGTTTTGTGCTGGCAATGTAATGGCTAATGGCTTTCCAGTACATAACTTGATTTTTATATTGACTGTAATCTAATTAGTGAGAAATGACTGAGAAAAATGCTGCTTATTTTAAGAATGGAAAACATAGCCATAGTGTCCCAAAATGTGTAAATTCTCCCAAGCTTTGTGCACTTACTGTTTTCTAATAAAAAATACAAGCATTACCCAAGTCTTCTAATGATTTGTCTGAAGAAATAGTCAGATTTCTGTATGCTTTCAACATTACTGAAGTTACTAAAGTGACTAATAGAAGATTGGGGAAAGTATTTCAAATTCCTTTAGCTGTGGCCTTCAAATTGTTTTTCTGTATTACTTATGTATCACTTCTTATGGCACATCAAAAATAGATTTTGGTCAGACTTGATAGATTATTCTTACCTTCACTGGACATCAGTACTAATACTCTTCTTCTTCATAACATTTTCAAGATAATTTCTGGTTTTGAAAGCTAGAACATCTTTAATCTTATAAAAAAAGAATTTAACACAGTTGGTGCCACATCAGGGTTCTGAGATTTTGTTCTATAATTTGTGAGATTTTTGTTCTGTAATTACTGACAATAACTCTAGCATGTTGCTGGTCTTCATTGTGAAAGGAGATGTAGGAAGGATCATAGAATCACAGAATGGTTTGGGTTGGAAGGGACTTTAAAGACCATCCAGTTCCAGACCTCCTGCCACCAGACCAGGTTACCCAAAGTCCTATCCAGCCTAGGCTTGAATGCTTCCAGGGATGGTGCATCCACAGTTTCTCTGGGAAACCTGTGCCCATGCCTCACTATTTCTTCCTAATATCTAATCTAAGCTCACCTCTTTTAGTTTAAAGCCATTCCCTCTTGTCCTATCACTACACCCCACTGACAAAGTCCCTCCCCAGCTTTCCTGTAGGCCCCCTTTAGGCACTGAAAGGATGCTATAAGCTCTCTCTGGGAGCAAAAAACTATTGTTACTCCTGTTTTCACTTCTAATAAAGAGGATGTTGTTCTCCAGTACTGGAATATGCTTTTTTAAAAAATAGAATAAAATAAATAAAAATCTTTAAACATCTGATGTTTTATTTTTAGTTTGGACCTGAACTAACTGTTTGGGTTTGGGCAAAATGGGTATCAAAGAGGAAAAATAAAGTGAAATGGGTATGATAGCTATAAACTTTAAATTATGCCAGTGCAAGCAAATAACATATCCTCTCTAATGAAGTCTAGGTATGTGTACCAAGAAAGGGAAGAAGATAGTAAAATTAGGAGTTCTGCTGTGAAATCCTTGCACTCAAAGGAAAAGGAGGTTGCTATTATTCTTTGTTATAATACATAGCTTTGGGCTGATCTCTTGTGTGCATGTGCTGTAGTCCAATGGTGTTGTGGTTTTTTTTTTACCATCAGAAAGAAAAGGCAGATCTTGGTAAGCTAAAATATCAATTTTAGTAGAAAATTGATCAGTAGAAAAATTAAGCTGCTACAAGTAGCTGTGGTTCTTCTAAACCTGACATTTATTGCATTTTTGAATATTAATATTTATCACTCCTTGTAATGCTTTGTTGCCTGACTTGTGAGAAAAGCTGGCATTGTAGATGCTTTCAGTGATCTATTCTGGCTTCCAGATAGCCTAGGAGAGGTTGCAGTCACCAGTATGCTCAAGAGCTACTTGCAGTGAGCCGGTGTAAACCATTAACTTTTACGCATAGCTCTTCTCTAGAGCAACTGGTGTAGTTCAGCACATACTGTTTTGGCTGGAGCTGCAATCAGTCTACACTTGAAATCATAGCTTAGGTAAGATGTTATGTAGCATGATAATGAGCATAGTAGTTAATTAGTCAGTACTGCTCAGCACTTCCCAAGGGAACTCTCTCTATGCGCTTAGACTTCTCATTTTCCCTTGAGCTCTCATTCTCACTGGTTTTTACCTTGGTAATCATCACCACTTGTCATAGTCTTAAAACAATACTGCTGTAGATAATGAAACTCCTACTGTGTTTGTTTTTCGTATTACCAATGTGAGATATCAATCTTACATACAAACAGCAAGGAATATATGCAGCTGACAAGTCTGTAATAACTTCTGGGACTTCACCGTAAGAGTGCTCTTGTCCTGTTGTGCATAGTACCGAGTTGCAGTTTTGATGTATTCTTTACATTTAATAATAATAATTGATTACATGGATCGTATTTGTCATGTTCTGTTGTATTTTTTTGGGTCAAATAAACTGAAAAAAATGTTTTTCATGGCATTCTCAAATTGTCTTGTTTGACAGTAACTGTTACTACCTACATAGTCACGTTAGATTGATGGTCCTAAGAAGTCTGTTTATTTTTAAGCATTCAAGTTAGTATCACAAGAAACAATTTTTATTTCTATTTTTTACAGTGAAAGCAATTAATCAGAGGAGTGACTTCCCCAGGGATGTGATAGAATCCCTGTCACCAGAGGCACAGGACTGGACAGGGTTCTGGATAATACCATCTAAGTTCCTATTTAGCCTGAAAAGTTGGTCTAAATGATCATTCAAGGTCCATTCTGACCTGGGCTATTTTATGACTCCTTTATCATTTAGCATTGAAATGGCATTTCTCGAGACAAAACTTCTAAGTACTAGAAAAATAGTACTCACGCTAACTATTAGCACAGTAATGTCAACACATAGAGATGGTGCAGTTGGCTTTTTTTTTTTTTTAAAGAGTTCTTTGGAGAATATTCACTTCCTGAAATACGAAGTTACATTAAGTATTTAATGCTACTATTTAATGCTTTACCTGACATTGAGGAAGAATGCTGCATAAATGGGGTTTAATCTTTTATGTAATAGTTGCATGGGGCAATAATTTAGCAATCAAGGATAGAATGTACTTAAAAGAAAACTTGATTTTGATATTCTTGGGATTTCTACCTGGAATCATTCAGTTGTTTACTGAATTTTAAAGTGTTAGATCTGTTTTTTGGATTAATTTGTATAGTTTTACTTATTGAAAACTCATAGCACAATTAAAATGTATTGATGAAAATGAGGTTTGGAGCTTTCAGTAAAAGGTTGATGAAAGGAGTTTCTGAGGGGCTGTAGAAAAATAGTGTCTGGATATAAGAGTAGAAAAATACCTTGGTGGTCGTAGCTCTAGTCATCAGAGGACCACATTCTTTTCAGTGACAGAAACTAAGCTATTGTCTTCTGCTCAAGCTATTGATAGTTTGCATGCAAAAATCGCTAAACAGTTCAGGACAAAAAATGATTTAATTGTAGGGATTATGATCAAAAGTCAAAAAAATGTTTTCTTTTGAATTGGAATTCTCATAAATCACATGTATTGAATTTCTGAATCTGAAAATACAGTATTTGAAGGCCTATTCTTAATCCTTATTAATGCTAATCATTTTCGATGTTGACCAACAATTTTTTATCAATGACTGAAGTACAAAATCCTCATGTACTGTGTAATATTTACAATGAGAGCAAGCAAACTACAGATCCATCCATTATGCTGTCATGTTAGCAATGTAGAGGCAAGGGCATGTTAGAGCTTATTATTTATTGCCATTAAGCTTATTATTTATTGCCATTAAGTATCCTCATTTCCCTGATTGTACCTGTAGCGGTCTCTTCCTCACATTATTTGAATAACTGAAAAGAACTTGGATGTTTCTTGTGTAATAAATCAAATAATGTTGAACAAGTTGTGGAGTTGCTTCATGTTATGTTTTTTTTTTTCCAGGCTTTGGAATAATCACTGTGATGGGACAGGAAGCAGAAACAAATGTAAAGCTGGAGGCAGGGACCTTGAAGGAGATCATGAAGACTTTGAGCAGACACGTTTCAGACATGGGAGAGGATGGCTGAAGAGTAAGAACAGTGGGCCCAACTTTATGGGGAGAACAGTACCAAAACTTTTAGATCTGTCTAAGCAAAGAAAGACTAATCTGTGGGAGTTGAGCATTGTTGGTGTCTGTCACAAGACACCTTTGCTGCAAGCAAATCAAACTAACATCCTTCATTTTTACCTGTTTGCTTTCTCTCGTGACTGAAGTAGTTCTGGTTCATGGCAGTTGGCTCAGCATGTTCTATCTCATGGTCATAACTAGTTCGCAGTAGCTGTTTTTGAACTAAAAAACGTGGGTAGAAGTATGTGTTGGGAAGGGTTAGTATGTTTGAATGTGGTAAAACAGGGATATGAAGTCTTGAAAAAGTGTCAAAAAGAGAGAAGGGCATCCATGCCCTTCCTTGTGTGGCCTACTCTGCTCAAGATAAGAAAATAAGTAGAGCTTCTAGGAAAAAGGGATACATGAGAGGGCTGGGAAACTTTTTGAGGGGAATAAAGATGAGAAATGGAATCCCTTTTCTTTCTATGGAGACTTCTTCCTTATGGACCTGATGCTTCTCAGGGTATTCCTTTCGCTTGGCAAGTTAGGAGTTGAGATTTGAGGTGGTAGGTGGCTCAGCACCATTAGTGACTGTAACTTCCCTGCTCAGAAGGAAGGGGGAAATTTTCTTTTGGGGGGGGGAGAAGGAAGCTCAAAGGTTGAGATAAGGACAGGGAGATCACTCACCAATTACTGTCATGGGCTAAACAAAACCAACGTAAGGGAGATGAATACAATTTATTGCCTATTGCTAGCAGACTAGAGCAGTGATATTTAAAGCTAATTAAAAATGCATTTGCCCTACCATCCACCCTGAACCTGGCTCTGATCAGCAGGTGGAGCTGGCTCTGATCTGACATAGGGCAGCTGTTGGGTTCTGCTCACAGAGGCCACCCCTGCAGCCTCCACCCTGCTACCAAAACATTGCCACATAAACCCAGTACAAACACAGAGACACACATTCAACTTTTTGCTGTTGAATATAAGTGGAGTTCTGCCATGTGTAAAAGGAGTCATAGCTTGGGTTCAGTGTTGGTCTGAGGTGGAAATGTTCTTTCCATTTCAGCATCTTTTCTGGCTGGAGGGAAAATGCTAATTCTTAGTGCATCTCCTCTGTTGCATTAGAAACAAGTGTTTTATGGCTAGTTATGTTTTTAAAATGGAATTTAAATAGTACATAGCACATGGGTGTACCAGAATGAACATACTCTGTGGACTCTGAAACTTCTGTTTGAGATGCTCATGGAATTTATCTTCTGGAACAAAGGCAGGCACTCAGTCGTCATTTGCTGCTTTGAATCAATGTCCAAATAGTCCATTAGAATTTGAGACCTGTCAGGTAAAATTTAACCAACCTAAACCACAGGCCTTTCTGTTTTAAGTTTACCTTTCCATAATATAAGTCACAAATGAAGACATTCTTAAGAATGTTTTTGCTGATGTCAGGTCACCTCACAGGCTAAGCTGCAGAATGGTGATTTACTGAAGCTTTTTAATATGGGTTAAATCCATTGCATTTCCTTCACTGTTTTCTGTTGGGCTAGTGGGAGAGCTGTTGAGCAAATGTGTCCTGTTTTTATTCCGTGCTAGAACTTCTTTGCTACAAAGGAGAAGTCTAAACTCTTTGTTTTGACACCAAGAAAACAGAAGGAAAACCTTTGGAAAACATAGTTCTTACCTTCACGTATGTACTTCTGTAATTGGAGTTGGTTACCCTAATAATATGAGTGAGCACTTCAGCAAGGCTGAGACTGAGAAGTCTGCTGTTAGTCCTGAAAATTTCAGACTGAGCAATTACGTGATTTTACATCTCTGCTGCAGGTATGAGAAGCTACGACCATTTTGTAAACTGGAAGTAAAAATTAGAACAGGTTAAGATTTGCCCAAGGGTGTGGTGTCATTAGATGATGAGTCCTTCACCCAGTGCTGTGTTACTGTCTACTCTGTGGCAGTTCGAAGTGTTTTCTTTTGCCAAAAAGATTTACTTCCTCTAAGTCACTTTAGCCTTCTTGCTGGTCAAATTATTAACTGACACATTCTAAGAAATAATCCAGTTGTGATTGCTATCTTCAGTTTGAAAGCATGAAAAAAAGATTGTTGAATATTCACTGTGTGTGCACGCTACTCTCTTACATGAGTGTCATTTGTAGTTTCCAAAATGTCGAAGTTACTTGAGCATTTCCCGAGTTGAAATTGTTTTTTGTGATAGGATTTCACTTACAAGAAAATACTTCATGGAAGAGCTCCCTTTCTTTTGCTGCTTTTCTCACGCTGCTTCAAAGAGAACATATTAACGCTACTATGCAGATGCACAGAGGCTAAAACAGAACTTACTGAATAGGAAGATACTAAGATTACGGTGCAAGACAAGTCAGTCTTTTAAGTCATGGTCTGTGTACAAGCCAAAATTTGTTTTACCAGTGGTATTTCAACTGTTTTCTGGCATGGCTAGTAACTTTGGTCACAAGGAAAATTCATTAGCTAGATATGTTATCCTAAGGTTTGTGTAAAATGAAAACTAAAAGTCCCCTTTTTTAGTAGATCTGAACTTTTGCCATCTTTAGCTTTGTTTTATTGGAACATTTCTAAATAATACTATTAGCTGTTGTACAGCATATGGTGTGTTAATGCTTTCTTTTTATTTTTAGTTTGCCAGAACTACGCGTTCCTCCTTACAACATCAGCTGGCTTTCCTTTTCGTTCACGTTCCTTGCAGTCCATCTGCCTATAAATGTTTTCAGGAGTACGTAGAATGATGATGTTATGATACTGATGTGTTAAGTCATTAACAATAAAAAACAAACGTTTTGTGGTGTTTTTAGCCCAAGTGCATTCCACCACCGTGTCCAAAATAAGTAACTTTCAGTTTTTAGCTAAAATCTTAATGGAAGCTTTTAATGTAAAGTGAGCATTTGTCTTATACATTGAAAGCATTTCTAAGAGCAAATTTGAAATTTTCTCCTGTGGAATGCCTAATGTTTTGTGGAGAGAAAATACCAAAAGATTTTTTGAGATTAGGGCAGGAAGTGCAGAAGTCCTCTCCAATTTAGGGAGAATCTGAGTTTGTGTTCTGTTTTGTTTTTACAAGTCACTGTGAAATGACAGAGCCTAGAAAATGATGTATGCCTGTTTTAACTTACTAGCTGAATTATGTCTATATTTTGAGAGGTAGGTGGCTTTGTGTATAATCCTGGACCAAAATGAAGCTATTATTGTGGGAGGTTGTGGAATAAAGCAGTTCATGTTCAGGAAGCAGCGGAGGCTTTTCTTGCTTTACCTCGGTGGTTACTGATCTAAAAATATTAACAAATGTAGAGGTATCTGTAGTTCTGTCTATATCCATCATTGCTGAGGCCACACCTGGAGGACTCTGTCCAGATCTGGGCCCCCCAGTCCTTGAGAGATGTGGATGTACTGGAGAGAGTCTAGTGTAGGGCCACCAAGATAATGAAGGGCCTGGAGCACCTCTCCTACGAGAAGAGGCTGTGAAAGCTGGGACTGTTCAGCCTCGACATTATTAATGTCTATAAATACCTCAAGGGAGGGTGCAAAGAGGACAGAGCCATGCTATTTTCAGTGGTGCCCAGTGCCAGGACAAGAAGCGATGGGCACAAACTGGAACACGCGAGGTTCCAGCTGAACATCAGGAAGCACTTCTTTGCTGTGCAAGGGACAGAGCACTGGCACAGGCTGTCCAGAGAGGTTGTGGAACCTCCATCCTTTGGAGGTCTTCAGAAGTTGGCAGGACATGATCCTGGGCAACCTGCTCAACCTTGCTTGAAAGCTGAGGAGGGGGTGCAGAACAGATGACCTCTGGAGCTTGTAGTGTAGATCCTTGTGCCTAACTGATCCTTCATTCATGTATGCAGCAACAATTTATTTCTTAAAAAAAAAAAAAAAGCTTTTCTGTTGTCAGTATGTAGCATGCTTCATTTAATAATACTGTTGTTAACTTGGCAGACAACACTTATATGTATAATTTAAAAAAAAAAATCTTGTGTAAACAATTGACTCATAGTGATATCTATGTAGTCTTTACCAGTTCCAGATTACTATCTAAATAGTAGACCAGCATACACCCATAATCTTTTATGTGGCAATACTTCTGCAGTTAATCTGTGTTTTCTAAGTCAGTATTCTTCTCAGGGTAGAAAAGTTTTTGAGGTTAGAATTCTGTGCTGCATTTGTCAGTATTGACAGCCTTAAACTTGTAAATGGTTATTTTGTTCTCATCAACACCTGCTGAAGGATGAACAGAAACTACCTTATCACTAGCACAAACTTAAATGCCATCAAGAAAGAAGGAATAGGCAGTACCAACACCGGTTCTAAATGGCACCACACCTGCCTCACCACAGCAGGCATTAGTCAAATGAGCTCTCAAATTAGCTCAAATGAGCACTGTATACAGGTTTAGATCTTCTTTGGTAGAATGCTCAGATAAGTAAGTCTTAAATATCTGTGAATAACATGTCATTCTGGCATATCCATACTGAAGTTTGGTTAATCCACCAACTTTTGTTTTGTAAAAACATGTGTGTCTTACTCCCTTTTATACACCTTTCCTCTGTAATGCAGCCTTTTCTTCAAATCTTCATGGTAGTCAGTAACCCAGCACTGCCAAGCTTATGTGAGTTATCTCAGCCATTTAAAAGATTAGGGTCTGATTAAAATCCCACCAGTTCTATGCTATAGGGAGCAGGGTGACTCAAAATGCCTGTGTCATATGTCTTTAACCTCTCCAGCTGTCCTGTTAGTGACCATGAGTCACAAGCTGGAGTTCTACCACTATCAGTCACTAAATCTGGAAGGTTAAACTGGTAGGGTAACTGATTTAGCAACTTGGGGTAGGATGTGGACTAGTGCATTACTGAGGTGACAGCAGCCTTTCTGTAATACTGCCTCATTTCTCAGAGAAGGGAGAGTCTCGTCCTTTGTTTTTTCTCTACACAGACTGTGAAAGCAATGTTTTCTGGGAGAACTGAGCTGACTGTTGCCTGATAGTGTTTTAAAAAAAGTTCATGGGAATTTCTCAGGCTGGTTCTTTGTGTGAACATTTTGTACGCTTCCTATGCAAAAACAATAAATGAGCACCTTTCCCTAAATGACAGAGCGTATAGCACCTGACACAGGAGGAGGGTAATTAGTCTACAGTCCCCCTGAGTCTGTTAGAAGGTAGGTGGCTGGTCCAGTCAGGAAGGTCAGATGTATAATAAGTGAAACTGTTCCTATTCTGTGAAGGGGTAGTGTTTATTTAATAGATGATCGTGGTGCCCACCTACAGAACGTTTTAGCAGACTTTGCCAAATCTGCTGTAATAGCTCTTGAGAACTCTTGCCTTGAAAGAGCTGATGGGACAGGCCCCCTTTCTGCCAGCTTCACTTCCAAAACCAAACTACTATGGGATTGCAGCCATTTGACCAGCTCTCTCTCTGGTTCAGGGCTGTTCTATAGTGTTTCATATTGGAATACTGTGGTTTTTTTTTAATGTAACAGAACATGTCTTTACCAGGGACCTCATATTTGTCCTTGGATTTGTTTGTTGTTTTTTTTTTTTTTCCCCCATTGAACCTATGGTCAGCTTCTTGTTTCATCCCTTGTCAACCTTTCTAAGTTGTACTTGGACTTTTCTGTTTAAGACAGTTCCTGATCTTTGCTGTAACTGAAATAGGTACTTCCAGATGTGTCACAATGAAACAGATCTTTCCCTGAGGGAGGTAGAGATTATCCTTTAGATTTAAAGAAATCTCCTTATGCACTTCAATGCTTTCACAGAATGTTTAGAGTGAAGCACAACTCCACCTATAGATTATTAAAACGGGTTTCACAATATGGAACAGGGGTGGGGAGGATCTTCTGGGTCATGTTTGACCCGCTCCATTGAGGCCTGGGGATCCTTACAGTTCAGTGAAGATGTATACAGCATATACATAAACTGCATTCATGTGTTCAATCCTGATGTTTCTACACGAGATGCTGGTTTTGGTACTGCTGTCCAGTAGATAAGTAGAACACCTCTTGTCACAATGAGGTTAAAAAAGACTTTGCAGAACTAGTCCTCCTGTACAAACTGCAGTTAGAGCCTCTATGTCTGATTTTTATTTTTTTGTGGCCTTTCCTGCCTTTGAATGTTTGAAAGGAGAGCTCTGCACTTAGTGGTCACCTAGAGACAGTGTACACAATACAAGGGAGTGATTTTTCTCTTGAATTTCAAGCTATGACAACTTGGTTTAGTTATAGTTATAAACAGCTATTAAGTGTCAGGTTAGATTAACTTTTTCCTTTTCCTGGAGAAAATCCACAGATCTAACAGCAAGCTTTGATAAATTTAAAACAAAATATCAATCGACTTGACCTCTTGCAATTTTACATCTGTAGGCACGGGGGGGAAAGCATTTCTCTGTTTCATTGCTGGTTACCTTGGCTGCATTTGAGAGCATTTGTGTTTTGGTTTGGTTTTAAGCATTGCGTAGTGTTAAAACTATTACACAAACAATGTTTTCATTTTACTTCCACGCTAACTCTTACAGGCTTCAATAGAAATGCATACAAGAAGCAGGATTTAGTCCTAGCTTTACAACATTCTTAATTGTCCTTTTAAACCTACAGCTTTTACAATAGTAGCCAGGAGGTTTTCAACTGTTTCAGAAGATTTCTGAAGCTAGCAGGATTTGAAGTACGGCACTGAATAGTTGTAAAAAGAAATTGGTCTGTATAATCAAGTTATGAGGGTGAGAATAAAACAAACTGCAATAAAAATGTGCAGGCTCATTAACTAAGAAAGTGTATCTTGACAAACCAAGCTTTTGGAGAGTTAAGGGAAGTTAGCAAGCTAAAAGAGTAGAAAATCTTGGAGTGTAAATGCTCTCTAAAGAGTTAATTTATGGAATTGCGTGAATCTCTTAAACTAATCTCCTTTTCTGGCCTAAAAACAGATTCAACTTCACTGGAAATGCTCAGAGGAGAGGCATGCCTCTCTTCACCAGATAGGCATGTAAGAAATTGAGTAAGGCAGCACACCAGTGGCATTTTAAGATTGGGCAAAGGTGTATGCTATAGAAAGTAGTCTGGATGTTTTCTGCAACTTAACGTGTTTTCTAACACTGGTGTGGCAGAGTTGCTGTGTGTTTGCATTTAATTATTGTTTGGTTTTTAACGTTGGAAAAAATCTGTCTAAAATGGTCAAAAAGTGTTTTCTCCATGACTGAACCTATGCGTTGTGTTATCGCACATAAACCTGTGTTATCAGGTTTACATTCTTTTTCTAGAATATATACATCCAATACGGAGTGTATCATCAGACATAATAGAGAACATCTAGTAAGAAACTGAACTTCTGCCTGTTATTTATTTACATTAAGAGATTTCTTCTAACCTAAGCCTACATTATTTCTAACACCTCTGTCTCTTGTTGACAGATTGTTTTCATGCTTATCTTCATTGATCAGAAAAATATTAAGCACCTGGAAAATCACTTAACGTAGCCTTCATCCTATGACTTAAAGTATAAACTAAGAGGGGAAAAAATAAGTCTAGCTTTTTTTTGTAGTCTGACAAGGTATAATTTGCCTTACCTCATGCTTCTGTAGCTGCTCACTTTCACTCCTGGACCTTTCTCTTGGTTGGGATGATGAAACTGCTTTTGCATCTGAATTATCTGAACTGTGTTACAGAACTGATACAGGTTAAAAATTTATTCCCTTCCCCAAGGTGTTTAAGGAATTGATTGTTTATATTTTGTATTCCAGTTTGTCTTGATCTAGTAGTTATCACAGCATACTGCAGGAGATGGTACACTGGAGATGGTGGAAGGGATTGAATGCCATGGCGTTGTTGAAGGGATAGAGAGGACAAAATGCTTATCAGACCTAATCTGACCTACAGTCTTTTGTGTCCTGAGGTGGTTCAGTATAATCTTCATATATTTTTGAAGGAGCAGCACCTAGCTCAAGAGAACTAGAAAACAGCTGTTTCTGAACAGGAACATGGGGAAATGCTTTTTTTTTTCTTTTCCCTAGAGGTATGGGGGAAGATGACTATGTTTATGAGCCTCTTTAGTAATATAACTAGTAAATTTGCAAGTGGAATGCCCTTGTCATCTGTGTGTATGTGACTGGCTTGTTTGTGTTCTTTTTTTTAAAGTACAGATTTTTCATTCATAATATTTGTCACAAATACAGAGCACTACATCCTGAGATTTGTTCCTCAGCACTGAGTGGAGAACCGTAATAATCAATTGGGAAATTAATGAAATCTCAATCTGTTTCTAAAGTCCCTAAAGAAGGTAGGTGACTGAGACCTGATTGCATCTCCTATCTAGAGGCAGGGAGAGGAGGAAGTGATGTGTTGCTGAGACTCCATTAAAGTTTCAGGATAAGGCACCAAATGTGCAAACCACAGACAGCATCTGCCAGAACTGTGAAGTCCAGATACTCTGTGTGCATTTAGTTCTTATATCTGCAAAATATAGAAAACTAACGGTTGCTGGCTTTGTCCTGTTTTTTAACATATAATCGCAATATGATAGCCAGTTTGGGAGCAAGAAGAATATACTGCCTAGCAAGAAAACACTTTGATAGCAAATTCAAAATAACTTGATTATATTTTACTAACTAAACAAAGATGATTACAGCTGCAGTTGCAGCATAGCTGGCATTTCAGTTTCATTTGAACAGTGCTGTGTGGTTGCTACAGCTGTAGTTTTAACCAAACTGGAAAGGAAATAGTAGAATCCTGTGGAAACTGCAGCAAGTCATTACGTTCTCTAGTGTCTCTTACAATACTAGTATTTGGGTCATGTTCTTGGACATCAAGTGATTTTTTTCCCTTAAAATTACAGGAACTTGAACAATGAAAAACAGTGGATTAGACACAGATGCAGAAGATTACTGTTCTACCTGTTCAGATTCAGGTAAATCAGACTGAGATTAACCAGTTTGGTTTGTTATATTTTCAGTCTGGGGGGTTTCTCAGTTTAAACAGGCTGAAGAGGGTTGTTTGATAGCCATCAGCAGGGTGAGGTGGGAATGATAAACAACAGGCTCCACAATCAAAGAACAGGTGGGTGTTGTGCGTTCAGATCATCTCTGAATGACGTGTAAGAGGCGGACTAATTTAATATCACTTATTCCTGAGAATAAATTTAATTTTATAACTTAATTAGAACACATATTTTTACATGTCAAATATGTGGTTAAAATTGCTTGTTGATACTTCATGAAGAGTTTCTATTTGCTTTGTGCTTTTGGTAAGAGTAAAAATCAAATGGAAGGGATGTTCTTTGAAAGCTTCCAAAAGCTTCAATAAAGATGAATTTTGCAGAAAGCCCTGAAGATCTGATAATCTGGCCTGATATTGGAACTTGTTCTTACAGTGGCTTAAGAACTGGCTTTAGATTCATATTTTTGGTCTCATTTTCAAAATTTCTTTAATGGCTTCAAGCATTTTAAGACTGGATGTTGTTTTTTAAAGAAACTGATTGCATTTAATTGGTTGCTGTCTTAGCTCGTTTAAAACATCTTTTCCCAGTGTGCAACATTTCCTTGTAATAAAATCAAAATAGTCTTTTAAGGTGCATTGAACATTATCATAGAGTTTAGAAGATTGTGTCTAATTGGGAAAGGCCTGAAACAAGTATTCCTTATACCTAAGCAAATAAAAAAAACATTGACCACAAGGTACCCTGTGTGCTGATGGTGCCATCTGTTTTTCTTGCAGATTTTGTGGAGAAGAGAAGGAAAATGAATTGGTAAGTTATCTAAAAAAAAAAAAAAGAAAACTACTTGAATCAGATGGACAGCATGAAACAGGATATTCATTTTAGAAGAATAACTGCTTCAGAAGCTCTCTGAAATTTTGTCTACCTTGTCTACTCTAACCAGTTGCACTATGAAGACAAATTTCAAAGGCTGCCCCAAGTTCAAGGAGGATTAACTCTAAGCTAGGCCTCTTAGGGACTCCTCTAAGGAGATACTAGTATGTGCAGTGTTTGGACTCCAAGGAGAACACTCTTTAGTTAATTAAATGGCATAATACACTTCTTTTTTTTTTAAGGGGGAAGACTTGGATCAAATTTGGCTGTGAAGTGGTATGCACAGCATTTGATACTACAGGCATTCCAGGACAGTTAACTTGTGCCCTTACGTATTTGTTCAAGGGGCAACATATGTGCAAGCTCAGTGACTGCTTTGTCTTTTGCCTTCACAGTGATCAATATAGGCAAATCAATAAAGATAAGTGGATCTGAAACGTGTCATAGTATGCCTGAGAGTTACAGGACCACTGCGTCTGTCTCTATTACCTTATCATAGCAACAACCTTCAAATGCTTTGTACTGCAGTCAGGATAAATAACGGTCACAAAAAGAAGAGAGCAGTACCTTGAAATCTGTCACCTTACCTTTGACTCCCTTGTCATTTTCAGTTGCTTGTTTTGCATCATGCTGTTTGTCTTAAGGAAAATCCGTAGGCTGGTGTCCTTTGGGGAGTTGACTTAGGCTTTACTTGGGGTCTGACATAACAGGAATTTATAAAGTCTGCACTTCAGACTCAAAAGAGCCATAACAACAGCCTGTGAGAAAAGCTTGGCTGTTGACCCTTGCTGTGTATTCCACTGCGGTGAAAGAACAGAATTAAGAGAAGATAGATGAAGTTCATAATAGAAAAGCATTGTTACATGAGGGCTGTTCCTTGTGACCTCTCTTTGTAAGAGTATCTGTAAGTAAGCTATAGCACAGAGTCCATTTCAAATAACGTACCTTAAACCACATCAAAACAGGGCTGTCTGTGGCTGAAGCTCATGTAAGGGAGAATGGGACTGCTATGTGGCTAGCATGCTGCTCTGCCACGAGTGGGAGAGATCAGTGGTGTTGTGATTCTAAGCATATGTGATGTCAAAGTAAATAGGTAATGATATGAATAGATGCCTAGCTTTGTTCTGTTGGCTTCCTGCCCAGATTTGCAATACTGCTACTTACATAGCCTCTGTGAAAGATGTAAGAGAGGTTTCTGGAAAGTAGGTGTTCCCTGTTGGCAGTGCACTCTCAGTCCCCAAAGCACAAGGTCTTAGGTTGGAACTTCCATGTGTGGGGACTTTGGGCCCTAGGGAGGGGACATGAGGTTGGGGAGGAATAGCAAAATATCCCGTCTGCTGATACCTGAGGGATATGGGAAGAATTAAAGGCTAATGGGCGGAATTTTTTCAGAACTCCCAAAATTTCACAATACCTGTAGAGTTTTAAAGTGTTCAAATGTTTTTTCTGGTGAAGCGAAGGTGGGAATAGTATTGTGGAAGATTTAATTAGCTTGAGCTGTCTCAGAACGGATAATTACCATATTTCTGCAAGATGAATGAAGGAAAATTTTACTTCAAGGTGGAAAAAGAAGATTGATAGCACTGCTTATGAAGATACTGGGAAGTAAAATAGCTATGTGTTAAGCTGGAGAGTTCTACAGTCACTGACTCATAAGGTAACAGGAAGTTCCATGAACATAGGTAAGAAATTATCTTGTTCGGACCTTCTAAGACAAACTAATTGAAGGGTTACTTGAGCAGTTTGTTAAGTATTAAATTAATAACTTTGAGTTCTTATGCCTTAAGGCCTCAGAAGAAAATTCCTCTTTATTTTTTTCCAACAAGTTTTCCAACAAGTTTGACTTCCCTCAACCATGAGAGGTTAGGAACCAAATTATATAAAAGTCTTTGTCACAAGATGATGATGTAAACAGAAAACATAAGATGGAGAACAACACTGTGTCCAGATTAAATCATAATTATATTTGCTCTGCTCATCTGGCATTTCTAGCTACATAAATGGAAACTAGTAGGAATTTGCATACATGTTAGGATGAAAAAATTGCTTGGACAATTATTATAAATTTGTTTTTTAATAGGTTTTAAGGCATTTATTTTTAGCTTTTCAAGATCAGTATTTGGAATAAACTCAGTAGTTCTGATTTCTCTCAGTCATGACCTAGTGAACATGAGTGAATTAGCTTGTTAAAGGTTATTGTAGCCAGCTAATGCTATGAGAAAGAAGTTAGGTGATATGTAGCTTGAATATAAAATACTTAAATTCATGTTCCTGCGAGCTATTAAGCTAAAAGTTCTTAAGGTGTTTTTTTTTTTCTATTACATTGTGCTGTTCCCGCTACAGATTGAAGCAGATCAGGTTGACCTTGTTTTGTTGTTTTTCTGAGACGTTTCAGATTTGATTTGCTGTTTTATGATGGTACTTAACAAACTGAAACATCAGTAACACTGTCAGTGACTGACAATTTGTTATAAAGATAGTTGCTTTAGTGCTGTAGAGGAGCTGCTTAATCAGACTTCACTGCAAATATTTTTTTTATCAGAATGATTGAAGTTTGGAAGTAAATAAATTTTACTGCATTTTTGCTATTCACTAGGCTATTTTCCTTCAACTATGTTTTTGATTTAAATCAATTTCTTTTCAGAGGCTATGTAGTCAGTACATCTGAAGTTTAAATGCTTGGAAGGGAGGTATCCTTAGGGAATGATAGACATCTCCTCTAGTTAGCTTGGGTGTGTTGTGCATATGCTTATTATGTGTTTTCTCAGATCATCTATATAATAAATTAGCATGCTCTGTAACCTCATGTTTCCACCTGACTAGCTACTTCCTGACCATTCTACTCGACTACAGAGCTTTCTGAAGACTAAGGATTGGGTAAGAAGGGCATGTTCTCAGCACCTGTGCCAGCCAGGTGACACCAGGAGTGACTGCTTCAGCTGGCTTTGGAGAGGTGGACAGTTTTGTGAGTTATTGTAACTGGAAACTCTGAAAAATCAGCAGTTTTATTTATTTATCCTTGCAAGCAGTAGGTAGAGCAAGCACCAACGGCCGTGGCCATCTTGAGGAGGTTCAGGGCAGGGCCTGGCGGCAGTTGCCCACCACACACCGAGCCCCGCCCCCTCAGCGCACCTGGTCCCGCCCCCTGCGAGCAGGCGCGCTCCCCATTGGCTCCCGCCGCCTGCCACTTGCACTGGCGGGCGGAGCTGTTGTGGCACGTGAGGGCGGCGCACGTGGGCCCGTTACATAAAAGCGGCGCGCAGGCGCGCGCATGCGCGGGCGGCGGCCGGGAGGGGCGGGGCCGGCAGCGGGGCTGCACCGCGCCGCTTCTCCTGCTCCTCCTCCTCCTCCTCCTCCTCCTGCTGGTGCTGCCGCCCCTCCCCCGGCCGCACCGCGCCGCGCCGCAGCGCCGCGGCTCCCGAGCACGATGAAGCAGCAGCACCCGCAGCAGCCCGCCCAGCAGCAGCAGCAGCAACCGCCGTCGGCCGGCGCGGGCGTGCCGGCCTTCCTCAGCAAGCTGTGGGCGCTGGTGGGCGAGGCGCCCAGCAACCAGCTCATCACCTGGAGCCAGGTGCGGCGCCGACCGCTGGGCCCGCCGAGGGGGGGGGAGGGTACCCGCGCTGAGGGGGGGGCTCGGAGCCGTTTAACGGCTGGAAGGGAAGGCGGGGGGGGGGGGGGCGAGGCCGGGCCGCAGGCGGCGGCCACGTGGGGATGGCGGGGCGGGAGCCCCCCCACAACGCCGCCACCCCTTTGTTCGCGGCGGGGGGTGCGGAGGGGCCCCCCTGGGGATGTGTGTGGGGGGGGAAGAGGTGTGCAGTGATCATATCGGTCGTGCCTGGCTGGGCTTGGTCCCTCAGAAATAAATGTGAAAAATAAAAAGGGAAACGGGCCCCGGGTGGCCTTCCTCGCGGATCCTTTGTGGGCAAGTGCCAGGCTGCGAAATCCGCGAGTGCCTGAACGTGCCGTAACGCCGTAATGCCGGCCGTGCCCGCCTCCCTGCAGCCGGCGGGGCGCTGCGGGGCGGGGGCCGTCCTGCGCGGGGCTGGGCGCCGGGGGCTCTCCCGCAGCGCCGCGCGGGTTGTTCCGCCATCACGTCAGTGCCGCTCTCTGCCTCAAACGGTGTCCCGGCGGCGTGGCTAAAAGGGCCTGTTCTCAAACCGCCTTGGCATCTTCGGGTGGTGCTGAGATGGCAGCTCTCAGCTCGGTTTATTTTAAATATTCAGGCAACCGTCAAGGGTTGCCTGCACTTGCCATCGCTGCACCGATACCGGGTTACCGGTAACTTCAACCTGAACGTTTTGGAGAGGGAAACGCGTGGATTCTGCCTGGACCACAGCAGCTTTCCATCTGCTTGTTTCCTTTGGAAGAGAGATGCTGAGGGCTGCTTCCCTTACCTGCCATTTTTGCCACCTTATGGACATTTCCCAAATGTATTTATGTATTTATCTTAAGTAAACGTACCAAGGCTGTTACTAGGTATCCTTGTATTATTTCCTTAACTAAAAATTAAGGCCAAATGGTTAGAGATTCTGCAAAGCAATTTGTGGAAGGAAGATCTACTGATCGTGCTTCGTGTTAGCAGCATTTAGCAGTTCTTGGATGGAAGAGGATATTGGCAGCCCTTGGTATGCAAGTGTTTGCCTGTTTTAAAAATACACTATGTCAGGTGTAATAGTGGAGGAAAAGTGCTATAACTGTAACATTTCACTTTTTTCTATACAAGTTGATGTCTCTACACTGGGAGGATAGACACTGAAGAACAACCATGTTGTCTCTCCATATACCTATCTTAGTGGAGGCTGGGGTGACATTGAAACACATACAGGGAATAACAGATTAAATACTTGGACGATTGCTGTATGCTGCTGTTAGTAAGAATAAGACTTGAAAACTGTATTCAGCTATGTAGTAAGGCTTCGCTGTGTTAAAGTCAGGCCTTAACCTAACGTCTGTTTACATCAGTGTAGATGACTGTCAGGGCAACAAGGACTAGTAGAACTATCTCCCAAATTGTTCTGCTGTAGGCCTAAAAATTTTCAAAGTACCACTGAAGTCAGGTGCTGTGTAAAAGCTGTCTTTTGGTGTTACAGGTCACTAGCACCAGTTGAGTACCTTCAGCTGGTGAGTTATGTTAATGCATTAGCTAAAGTCATCTGTTCATGCTGTTTTGCTTCCCATTTTCTTTATGCTGGCTGATTCTCAGCAGGAGATAGGTATACATTACTGGGAAGTTGGGAAGCTTTCATCTTCCTACTGTTCTCAGATTTGTGCTTGTAACACATCTAATGGCATTCCATTTATAAATCATGCTTCTGGTGATCCTTGCTTGGTCTTCACATGGTCTCGTGGCTGGTTTTTCAAGCTGGTTGGGGAATGTACAGCTGCTGGCATTGCAGGGCGGGGAGGGTACGAAACAAGTGGGGAGCCCTGTGAACTAAAGGGCTTCTGAGCAAATGGAGTATCAGTGATGGCATTTGTCAAAGATGGTAGGCTTCTCCATAGGTGCAAAGTGAGAGTACTGTGGGTAGACCACAGAGAAACCCGTACCATTTTGAAGCAGCTGATTTGCATCCTGCCAATTACTTGTCCTTTAGTGAATGGAGCAATATCATTGAAGAACAAAGAGCAGAGCCTTCTTTCTATTTTAATCTCAGCCCGTGGATGAAATTTGAGGACCAGTTCAGTGGGGAAAAGATCAGTCCTCCCTCACAGTTGGCATCACAGGGAGAGAGGTATTGTCTTGAGTGCTGTTTGGTAACTGAAATCCAGTGGACACCCTCAGCTTTTCACAGTTTCACCTTCTCTACAGGTCTTACCAAACTAGTCATGCTTTTATGATGAGAAGCAGAAGGGACTTAAACTGTGTTTTGTTGTGTTCTGGTGGCTTTTTTGTTTTTTACCTTGCACAGTCTCTTTGCTTTGTTCCTTCCCAAGACCGTGAAGCTACATACAACATCGATAGTATTCTGCGTTAGTGGCACTGATACTTGTTGGTAAACTGGTAAATTTCTCTTGAGGAAGTGAAGAGTAACAATAGAAATGTTTCTCTTTAGATATGGATAGCAATGTAAATTAGGAATTCTCTGTTGCTTTGCAGCTGCAGGGTTTGTACACTTTTGTTGTGGAAAACTGTAGGCAAGCAGATCAGTTTTGTGCTGCATGCACAAAGGAAGCATTCCTATGTGGTGATTAATTCTAAAAGCCCAGAGTGTTTTCTACAATAGTCTTTAAGAAGCTTAATGTCTCTCTCGTTTTAGAATGGCCAGAGTTTCTTGGTGTTGGATGAACAGAGATTCGCAAAAGAGATTCTTCCCAAATACTTCAAGCACAACAACATGGCAAGCTTTGTCAGACAGTTAAACATGTGTAAGTTCTTGGTTTTTTTTGGGTTTCTGGCATAGTTCACGATCCTGCATGTGTTTAGTTATAGATTATTTCCTTTGAGCATTTCTTCTGCGTTCTCTGCTACTAGGTTGTTGTTGCATTCTTAAAACTGATAAAAGGATAGTCGGAGCAATATAGTTTGTTTTCCTTAACGTGGGCTTTGAGAGATTTTTTTTTCTTTTTTTATTAAAGATGGTTTCCGTAAAGTTGTCCATGTTGATTCGGGGATTGTCAAACTGGAGCGAGATGGTCCAGTAGAGTTTCAGCACCCCTATTTTAAGCAGGGTCGGGAGGACTTGTTGGAACACATTAAAAGGAAGGTTAGTGAAAACTCAATATGTAAAAAAGCTATACCAGTAAGTATAAATGAATAACAAATTATATGTTATGTTTAATTGCAAGATTGTGAGTACAAATGAGCATGGTGGAGTCTGGGGAAGTAAATAAACTGTGCTGCTCTCATTCATATATATAAGATCTATTTAAAGGTATTTGGGGGTTTTGACTATTTGACTAGGCTCCTCTAAGTATTTCCCTGTCATAGTTTGGCAGGCAGCAAAAATTAGGTGTGTTAATAGAACATTTAGCAAACATCTACTAGGAGTGCAGCACATGCTTAGACTGTACCGTCACTAAACAGTCTGTTTATGTAGCTTGTTTCAGAGCACAGCTACTGCAAGTAGTAAAGTTTCCACCAAGGAGGAGGAAAAACATAAAAACACACATATTTCTGAAATTTGCTCTGTTGTTATTCTAAATAGAGTGAATAAGAACATTGTTATGAAACAAATACACGTTAAACTGTGGTGGGAGACACTTTTTAGCGTGGGTTAGTTTGAAGCAGTTATCATACAGAGCACTGAGTACAATGCCTGGAAAATCTGAATGAATACAAATATGATAACTAAAACTAACATGGTGTCTGTTGTAAGGAGTTTCTGTATTATAGTATTTGATGTTTGTTTTATTACTAACTCATAGTATCAACACTAGACAAAATATAGTTGATCTACAAAATAAAATAATAAAAATAAGTAAAGGAAAGTGTTGCTTCTGTATTCTCATCTTTTAAAGGTTTCTTCTTCAAGACCTGAAGAAAACAAGATACGCCAGGAGGATCTCTCCAAAATAATAAGTAGTGCTCAAAAGGTGCAAATTAAACAAGAGACTATTGAATCTCGATTGTCTGCTCTGAAAAGGTAAATGTCCCATCAGCAACTCAGCTCTGAAATTGAGTAATTCTGACAATAGATATCGGAGAACAAATCTGACGCTTAAGTGTGAGACACAGTTTTAAGGATTTCTGAGTGTCCAACTGTGACTATTGCTTTGGGAAGAGAAATTTCAGTAAAAAAATTGCATTTAAAATGGAATGTTTTGATATGACTTAAAGTATAATAGGCAAAGTTGGTGTTTGAAGAACTGTCTAGTAGTAGGCAATTAAACACTATGTTTAATTTTAGTTCCATAATGGTGCCGAGGCTGAATATTAAGTAAGTTCTTAAAGTATGCCGAGAATGAGTGACTTCAAGTATGAAATAGTTACTGTGTTTAGTCTGAGGCAGAGTTTGGTTTGTGCATATTGCTTGTGATACCTTCATACTATAATTAATGGTTTTGCTCATTACTTTTTTATTTTACTTGTATTGTCTTTATTCCCTCACTGCTGAAATTGCAGAAAAATTAATACTTACAAAAATCTGGTTAGAAATCTAATTTGGAAATTTAGAGAAGAATTACGTAGTGTCATTCAGTTGGTGTTTTCAGTTCTAATTACTTGTGTGATAGAGTATTCAAATGCGAACATTTTGGCCAGGAAGGGTCTTTATTAGAAACTGGCCAGTCTAAATTAAAACGCTCACATTCATCCTTTTGAATCATAGATGAATTCAGGTTGGAAAGCAGCTCAGGAGGCCATAAGGTTCAAAGCCCTGCTCAGAGCAGGGCTGACTGGTTAAAATGACATTTGGTTGCTAACAACCTGACAGTTTGTAGAGATAAGAAGATAGAGGGGTCGGTGTTTGATATCCATCTTGTTCCACGAGTTTAGAATGATTTAAGTAGAAACAAGCTAAATCAGAAGACCTGGTCCTACAAAAACATGTTCATAAAGCTGGTGGAAAGGTTGAGAAAGTTCAGAATCCCTGATTGCAGTTACTAAATTTGTGATGAAACTGTGCCTTTAAATTGTGTGTTAGACATTAATCCTCAGACTGCTGCTAATCTTCATCATACTGCCTATCAGCAGCTGTTTGTGAAAAATAAGCTTAAGGTTTCCTAAAAACATGAAACACCAATGGAGAGATTTTCTTCCCATTTTGGCATTCATCTGTGTTGAAAACTAAACAACGAAACAGAGGAGGGTGGTATGTTGTCTTATCCACTGAAGCTTTTGGTGTTCATTATCTACTGATTAATATGCTTTATGCTGTTGGAAGCAATAAGGTTCATGGATACGATGGCAAGGGTCACTTTACAGCACTTTTTATACTATCTCTGTTCTGGACTCTTGTGAGAACTGGAACAACCAAGGTTTGTGAAATGGCAGTGTTCCCTGAAAGCTGCCAGCTCTGCTGTGCTCCTAGTTTTCAGCACCTAATATATGCCACTTTACTGAAGCTAATAAAGGCAACTGTTATAACCTACAGCTGCTTATAAGGCTTGTTCTACAAAGGTGCTTTCAAGGTGGATATAGTTTCTGATAGATGTCTTGCATCTAGCAAGAGGTCTGTGAGGAGGGGCATGCAGGCTTGATGAGAAAACACAGTATTTACTGGTGAAAGGGCTGTTCCCAAGGGATATTACTTGGCTGTTCAGTCCTTTGCTGCTGCCAGAAACTAGTGGTATGTTTGTTTAATTTTTATTTATTTATTTATTTATTAGAGTGAAGACAAGGTAAACAAAGGAAACAAAATAGTAAATTTTGAAATGCTGAATGTGTGTGTAATAAGTGTTTCTCTGGGAAGAAATATGTTTTAAGGAGGCTGGAAGTTCTCTTCAAGCTATTCGTCGTGTTTGGTTCTCCATTTTGTAGTTAGTTATTTGTGAAGTTTGTTGACTTTGTGATTTTTTTTTCCCTGAAACCTAAAAACACATTTCAAAGAGGTTTAATGAAACTAACTAATCTTTAACAAAAAATATTCCTGTGAATATTTCAAACATTTGATTTTTTTTAATTTTGGTTTTTAAATTATCCTTTTCAAACAGAGAGAATGAATCTCTTTGGAGAGAAGTTGCAGAACTGAGAGCAAAACACTTGCAACAACAGCAAGTTATTAGGAAGGTAAGACTTTGTTCAAACATCAGTATGAGTGCTACTAAGCTAGGATACCCTGTCATGTTACCTTTCTTTGCCGTCACTCTTTTATCATAGCATGGGAAATAACTTCTTAATAAAAGAACAACTGGGTGGTGCATGGTGTGCAAACCTTTGTGAAACAAACATTAAGTATATTTCACCCCAAAAGCAAAAGTTAAGGCCAAAACTCTTGTAGACATTTTCAAAGAAAGAATTCCAGTAGCATTGTAAATCATTCATTAAGATGCCCTTAAAATGGTCCATTAGTTTTTGATTTCTTCAGGAATCAGATGACTAATAGACTGTACTGACAGATCTCTGGAAAAACTGTATCTTACTACAAGAATTATGAAGTTCAGTATTGGAGATTAATTCCACTTAATACTAACTGTGTATTTGTAATGTTATCAGAAAAGTAGGTTATTGAATGCAACCCATTGCTAATATGTTAGCTTAGCTTAGCAGTTTTTTAGATTTATTATCTACCAAAACCAATGTAGATGCAAAGAGTTTACGGATTCTTATTTTGTTTATGTATCAGAAATAGTAATACTATAAGCAACCTTGTAGCAGAGACTTTTGCTTATCTTTTTTTCAGTTTGTTCAAGCCAGAGACTTTCATTTAGTCCTTAAATTTAAAACATATGTGAAAATAGGCTGAGATTTCAAAGGGAAAATCAGCTGATGGATACTGTCAACTGTATGTGTTTTTTTTTTTTTTAAACTGTCAAAAAAGCCTTTCATCAGGCCCAGTATTTATAGATACAGGTTATATATATAGTCAACACCCTTACATGCCTTCTGTCATTAGAATTAGAATTCTTCTGATAGTCTGAGTTACTGGATTTCTTAATATATATTGAGTGATGTGTAAAAAATGATTACTTGATATGTGGAAAAAAAGCCTTTCTCAAACAACTGATTAACTCTCTTCTTTTTAGATATTACCAGCCATGTTTTCTGATCTACCTTGATTTTTAATTCTTCTGAACAGTTCTGTATAGAAAACACTACACACAAAATAAGTGATGTGCTATTTTGGTATAGTTTTGATTAACAAAGTCTTATGCTATGAGGTATGTTGGTGGTCAGAGAAAAGCAATTACAGGGTAGATTGACTAATGATAGTATTATTTTCCTCATAGATTGTGCAATTTATTGTTACCTTGGTGCAGAATAACCAACTAGTGAGCCTAAAGCGCAAGAGGTAAATATGGCCTTGAAAACTTGCTATCCAGTAAGTATACTGACATGTTTTGTTGAATAAAATGGAAGAATTAGTTCTGAGATGGCTTTCTTCCTTTACTGTAATTTAGGCCTCTTCTTCTGAACACTAACGGACCCACAAAGTCAAATGTATTTCAGCAAATTGTGAAAGAACCAGCTGACAGTAACCATCATGTAAGTTGTTGTTTTTTTTTTATGCGTGCTATTTGTTCTGATGAAGGAAGGAGTGCAGGAGGAGGAGACAGATCAAGTAACAAGTCATATTGGGGGTAGAAACATAACTGTACCTGAGAGCTTTCAGCTTCTGGAAGCAGTATACCATGTGTATCCTTCAGAATCCAAGTGAGTTTATAATTACCATTCATTTTTCAGTATGAACATATGTAAACCACTTACCTGTGTATTAAATACGGCTACATGTGATACTATTGAAAGCAGTTTGATTTTTACAATAGTGCCTTTAAGCATGTGTATGTTCTGCTGTTGTCTCCTGGAGCTGAGGGCCCCATGCAGGGACAAGAATCCACCTTGTTCTGCAAGGCAGCACCCAACCCAGCAAAATCATGTCAAGTTTTTGTGCTGCTTGAATGTGTCACAGCTCTGAAAGTTACTTTCTCCTGCACAAATAATTGTGGATGGAGAAATCATCAGAATGAGTGCTCTAGCAAGTACTACTTAAATGGCAGGTCAAGGCTAGTAGTCACTTTTTTAGTATTTGTACTTCTCATGTAGTCCTGTCTTTGTATCTTTTTTGTTGCTTTTGCTAGTATATTTTTATTTCTATGCTCGTATAACTTGCCAAGCACTTGTTTCCTGTATCAGCTCTTCTCCAGCTCGTTCATTTATTTATTCGTGTCTTTTTTCTCTTAATCTTAGATCCATACAAACCCCTTGTAATCTCCAAGGTGTTGGGAAATTCTTCTACTGTTTTAGAATTGCAACATTGTAAGATGCAGTGATAACTGACAGAATGCTGAAGCTAATTGTCCGTTTGTCCCCTGACTCTTTTTAAAATAATTCTCAGGTACCTCTCAACAGAACTGAAGGGTTAAAACAAAGGGACCAAATTTCAGATGACATCATTATTTATGATGTTACTGAGGATGTGGCGGATGAGGACAATACCATGGTTGATGAAAATCCTCCTGTTACACCAGAGGCAAATGAAGACAGCACTTCAGATTCTTCCAAGTAAGAGATCTCTAGAATTCTGTATAGGTATTTGGCTGTCAATGCTGTATATTATGAAATAATTCAGATGTCTTAGATACTGTTTAAAGCGGTAAGAAAACTCCATGTATAGGAACATCATCTGTGAATTTGCGCTAGGTTTCCTCTGAATTCCAAACAGTTAACTGGCTGTCAGAGTTTTAATATATTGAAGATAGAAACTAGTGAGAAGTAATCTGTATTACTGTGCTTTGTTAAGTGTGCTACTTGTCGAAAGACAGAATAAGTTCTTCTTACTTGTGGTTGTGAATACAGACAGGAATGGCATCCCTTCTTTTTAAAGGTTTTTTTGTTTTTTTTTGTGGAGATTAACTTGCATGTGCTGTTTATCAAGTGTTGGTGTGGTCTTTGAACATTACTATGCTGGGGAATTTTGGTGGTTTTTTGTTGGTTTTTTTTTTTTTTTTTTTTTTTTTTTTGCAGTCCGAAGTGATTAGAGACTACATTTCTTCTGTCTTTACTTAGCATTATAGAAGTAGTTCCTCATTTGCATGGTATTGATAGGACCTGTATTATGCCCCAAGGAATACAATTTAGAGATTCGTAGTTTATGCTTGAACTATGCAGTTTATGCTAGTACTGTTACATTTGTTGAACTGATGTCTGGAAATGCATTCTCTGATAGAAAAGTTTAATGAAGGTAAGACAGCACAACTACTTAAGGGTTAAGAAAACCGCCAGCATACAGAGGAAAGCAAGCTATTTAAGACTTTTTTTCCTGGTTGTTTTGGTTGCCTTTCTGGTGTACAAAGCAAGCTTAATTAACTGTAACACAGTTGACTGAGATCCTTCATGTTACGACTAATCCAAAGCTGAATTTTGTCCCACCGGAAAGATGGAAAGTACACATAGTCTGTCGTGTTTGGCAGCCTCATATGCTTTGGCCTACTTCATAGCTACTTCACATTTATATGAAAGCTTTTCTTGTTCTAACGCAAAAACACCACTGTTCTTCTGTGTTTGTAATAGTTGCTAATGTGGTCTAGCAAAACAGTGTCTACTAGCTGAACTTCATTAAAAAAGTAACTAGGTGTATGGAATAGTGTACCAATTTGTGTATGGAACACTTTAATTCATTTGCCTTGTTTTACAGCTGCAGTCATTCTCCTGATATAGTAATTGTGGAAGATGATAATGAGGAAGAATACGCTCCTGTAATTCAAGGGGATAAAAGCACAGAATCAGTTGCTGTCCCAGCTAATGATCCCCTCAGCCCTGTCAGTGACAGTACAAGTCCGCTCATGTCAAGTGCTGTACAGCTGAACAGCCAGTCAACTTTAACTGCAGAAGATCCAGTCTCAATGATGGATTCCATACTCAATGAGAGTGGAGTAATTTCACAGAATATAAATCTTCTTGGAAAGTGAGTAGCCTGATGTTTTTACATATTAGAACTGATTGAAATTCAAAGGACTGAACTGGTAACATTATATTAAGGCATATATATTATGCTGGTAATGTTCTAGTTTGTAAAGATCCTTCCATTTTAAGTATTTTACCATGGGACCCTCTCTGATTTTCATCATGAAGGGAGTGAATTAGAGTACATAATCTGACAGTGTAATGTTGTAAATAACACTGTTTAAACTGATGATGCTGTCAAGGTCTATATGCAGGATTCTTGCAGGCAGATTGGACTTCATTAGGACTAGTAAGAGGCAGGAGTTCTGTCTCTGCTGATGATAATCATAGTCAAGAGATGTGATTTCTCTTTTGGAGCACCTGTCTGCTTTACTTGGCTTCTTCTCTAAAAAGTAGGGTTGAAAGTTGTCAGTCTTTTTGAGAAGTTAATGAAAAAGTCAAAATAGTGTTGGTAAAGATTTTTAGATGACATAGTACATCTGTATAAAACTTACATGTTTTTTTTTTTCTTCTGTTAGTGGATACAGTAATGCAATACTGGTTTTGTCTTCTAGAGTTGAACTTCTGGATTATCTTGACAGTATTGACTGCAGTTTAGAGGACTTCCAGGCCATGTTATCAGGACGACAGTTCAGCATAGATCCAGATCTACTGGTTGATGTAATTTTCTCTGTTTATTTCAATATTTCTAGCAATTTGGTAATACACTCAAGAAAATATTTGTGTGGACTGTTACTGTTTAAAATGCTCAAGATTGTATTTTGCTCTTCCTTTCAAAAAGGACAGTTATAAATATTTGTGAATATGTGTTTCTGGGGCACTGGTATAACTGTACTACACCACTGCCCAAGCGCATGCTGTGGTGATGACAGTGATGTAAATTTTTGATCAAAGAATGGCTTTTAGTGAAATAACGTTTTTATTTGTTGCTACATGAACTCAGACACCAACTAGATTAATACTTTTGCTTTGAAATGGCCCAGCACGGAATCTGTTGTCATCTCAATGAACTTGGGTTAAAAAGGCTCTTGGCATTTATTTTAGGTTTTCTGATGTTTCAAGTTATTTCTTGGGAGTTACGTGTATGTTCTCAATTTCTCTTCAGGTTCATGTCTATCAGAATGATCTAGGTTGGAAGGGTCTATGCAGGCCATCTAGTCCAACCTCCTCGCTCAAGGGCCAACTTGAAAGTTAGATCATGTTGCTTGGGCCTTGTCCACTCAAATTCTGCAGTCTCCAAAGGGAGTTTCCATGGCCTTCCTGAGTGTCTGCTTCAGTGCTTTGCTCTCTGTGAAGAACTTCCTTATGTCAGTCCAAATTCTCCCTACTACAGCATGTCACTCTTGCTTCTTGTCCTCTATCCACCTCTGTGGAGTTTGTCTTCTCTGTATCACCTCTCTACCAGTAGTGGAAGGGTGCAGTTAGTGCCCTTGTCTGCCCTCTGCAGACAAGATAAGCCATGTTTTCTCAGCCCATTTTATGTCTCACGCCCCCTAACCATCTGTGGCCCTTTGGACTCTGTGTAGTTTGAGAATTCTCATACTGGGAAGCTTAAAACCAATCGCTCCCTGCAGCACAGTCATACTGCTGGTTTACATGGGGTGTTGTCTCCCAGGTCCGTTTCCAAGGAGCTGTTCCCTGTCCGTTCGGTCACTAACCTAGGCTGGTGCATGAAGTGGTTGTGTCCTAGATACATTTGTTTGTTGAACTCGATGTAGTACTTTTTGGGCCTCTTCCCCAGCTTGCTAAGATCCCTCTTAACAGCTCTGCTCCCTATATATTGTTGACTCCTTCCAGTTCAGTGTCACTTGAAAACTTCTTCAGGGTATGTTCCTCCTTATTGTACACACAATTCTCCATGGAGCAAAGTAAGAATGAATTGGTAATTCTCAGACTGCAGTGAACCATGTTACTCTGAGTTAGACATGCTTACAGTTGTTTCCTTTGTGAGTGAAGTTCATGTGATTCCAAAATACGCTCCAAAGATTTTCTTTGCAGAAGTGGTAACTATCTGTAAATAAACTCTAATCTTAACTGAGGGCAAAAACACTGCAGGGATTACTGAGGGCGAAAACACTGCAGGGATTATTTTCACACATGCAGATATGACGTTCTTGTATTCTTAATAGGAACATCGAGATGCTTAAAGCTTGATGTGTTTTGTCTTATTCAGCTTTTTACAAGCTCCGTGCAGATGAATCCCACAGATCATATCACTAATACCAAAGTAAGTTTCAAACCCATAATTGCTCAATGTACACACAGTAGCGAGAGATTCGAACTTTTTTCATCCTGTCCTGTTTTCTTTACTGGTATAATAGCACTTTTTTCATGCTCTTGCTTTCAAGTCTTCCATGAGTATAGGAAGGCTGCAGTTGAATTCATCCTGTTAGGCTTTAAATAGGTAAGGGGAAAACACTAATTAGCAACATATAATGTCATTTGAAACTGTGAAACCAGAACTTTTGTTACCAGCCTCTTTTGTAAAGACTTTTGTATCTTCTGTCCCAGGTTTTAGTACTTACAAATATACTTTGTCAAAATGTTTCCGTCTGTGCTGTCTGGTGGGCAAGGAAACATTAGAATAAGCAGTAGAGCAACATACTAGCTCTTTGAGTTTGTCCTTTTTGTGAGCATTAGTTTTTGGTTTTGCTTGAATAAATCCGTGTTTCCATTTCACATTTTCTCAGCCATGATCCGTTAGCGTGAATAACTAATACCAGTGCATCCCTTCACAAATATTTTTTTAAATGGTTGGTCAAGCTAAGTTCTAGTATCATTGCCATTGCATTGAAAGAAGCTTTGAGGAGCATGTATTTTAGATTTTACTTTGTTTTCCAGATGGAGACGAAGGGAATAGAAACTACTAAGAATAATGCTGGTCCAGCTGCTTCACAGGAAACACAAGTTTTCAAGCCCAAATCAGGTTAGTTGTAATAAGTGTTTTGTTGAAATGTTTTAAGAGTTGAGCAAGCATTGTACTTAAAAACTGTCTCAATTATTTGCTTGTCTAGGTTTGTATGATGCTGATAAGCATATAACCAAAACAAAATATTTATTATATTTGCTTTTTAGGTTTTTGGCACTGTACCAGCCATAGAGAATCTGATGTTCTGCAGGAGAATCTGGATAAATAACTTTATGTAGGGATGTAATGAATGTAGTAACTCTTTAATCATTTAAAACAAGCACATAGAACTTTTTATTATTAATCATTTTTAAAATAAGTTATATGGGGTGTTGTGTTTTTTGTTGTTTTTTCTCTTTGTCTTTCTACGTGTAGGATGGCATGTGAACTGATAATGTTTTGGGAATTTTTTTCCTTTAGATAAGCAACTCATACAGTATACTGCATTTCCACTGCTTGCATTCCTTGATGGGAACCCAGGTTCCAATGTTGAGAGTGGGAGCTCCACCACCGAAACTCCTTCCTCTGTGGACAAACCGCTGGAAGTGGACGAGCTCCTGGAGAGCAGCCTGGATCCTGAACCAACTCAGAGCAAGCTGGTGCGGCTGGAGCCGCTGACAGAGGCAGAAGCAAGTGAAGCCACACTGTTCTATTTATGTGAACTTGCCCCAGCACCCATGGACACAGACATGCCGTTCTTGGATAACTAATGCAATGGGGACTCTGTATATAGTCATGAAGATGAACTATTTATTTAGAATATTGTTTGGTATATGAGTTTTTTGTAAATCACTGTTTTATGTAACCAGATAATGTGGAGTTTAAACTATCTTTCCTATCTTCCTTCAAGCAATTGTTTAACTACGCTGTGTAGTACTGTGTACACAGCGTACTATTAGGCACCATTGGCAATACCAAGTCAGACTGTTACTATACTGCTGTCAAACACTTGGTATACTACACATATCTCTAAATATCCAAGGTAACTGAACACTTGTTAAGAATAAGCTTTGATTTATGGTTTCTTCCACTTCTGGTCTTACATATGATAACGTAAAATAGTAGTGTATGGTTAGGGAGCACTGACTTTCTGTATCTTGTTTTTTTTTTCTATTTTTTACAACATTTTGTTTAATAAAACATGAAGCTTTTTTGGGGTGGGGGGGAACCAGGACCTGATGTAGGCTTTTTTTTTTCCCTGCTTGAACTGGGAACAAAGTGCCTGTACCTTGCTAAATCTTGGTTCTGCCTTACTTTCACTTCAGTGGAAGTGCTTATACATAGCACAAACTGGGGAAAAGTCCTTTACAGCCACCAGGCCCCTTGACTGCATGAGTACTTTTAACTTGGACCATCTACTCTGACAAAATAAATGTTACTTAAGTGTGATACTTGGGGAGAGTTGGTCTCTTATTCCATGTGCCCTTATTCCATGTGCCAAATGAATATTAATTCAATGGACTGGGTATTTAATGCCTTATTCAAAATTTGTCTTCCTATGCATATTTTTTGGAAAGTAATTTCATTATCTGCAAGTTTTGAGGTTTATATATAAGACCCCTACAGTAGTTAAAAAAAAAAGAGCTAATACAGCAAATTAATTTCTTTCAGCAGTACACAAAATAATTTTACTTTTTCTTTCTGATAGCTGCTGCAGAGTCCACTACTTCCTTTTAGTGGAAAAGTTCTATCCTTACTCCAAAGGTGTGTGTGTGTTTACTGTCAGTCAGTCTTCTGTGCTCATTCAAGTGAAGTTATTACATTTGCATTATAACAGCTGAATAGCAGAGGAGTTAGATGGCTGTGGTAGGTGACAAGCAACAGATCTGTGATCAACTCACTCTGAGCACCTGACTTAGTGTATGCTAAATCCATAAACATAGAGCTTTGTCCTCAAAGCTGTAGCTACAGTGCTTTGTAAGAAACTTCAGGGCAACTTCAGGGTAGGATGGCCCTGTAGGTAGAGAAACTGGAATTTAGTACTAATTTCTCAGGCATGTAAGAGGAAAATATCTTCTACAATAGTGTAAGCACATTAGAAGTGACTGTTGACAGTGGGGTTTTTGTTTAATTTTAAAGGTATTGTCTAGCCACTTCCACAAGTAGCAGACTACACACCTTCCCCTTTCAGGGAAGGCATAGGACTCAGGAACTACCCTATTAAGATAGGTGAAACACCTGAATGTGAATGCTAAAGCTTAAAAAAAAAAGTGTAATATGAAGCAGCTCAAATTATGTTTCATTCCCTACTTCATGATGAAGTAGGACATGCAGCTAAAACACGAACAAGATTTACACATGTGAGAGATGACTACAAAGGGCAGAGAGAACTGGGAAAAGTTGACACAGACCTACACATGATTTAAAGGGCCAGGAACTGTCAGAGGTGTACTCTTGTCAGAGAAGTAAATAAAGTGTGCACAGAACATAAAATTAGAATATAATGTAAAACCACATGTTCAGCAATGAGACATGAGAAGTCATTACACAGTTTCATCCAAATTTATTTATTAATAAGGTAACCACATATTCCAAATTACTACAAGCCTTACTAATCCTTTCATTACCATCTCAAACTTGACTGACATGTCATTTCTGCAATAAGTGTCAGTGTCTGGGAGTAAATTTAAAATAAAAGCTTAGAGAAGAATTAGCAACAGGAAGTAACTGTATGAACACCACAGTAACAGGCAATTGTGACATCTGCTAAAGGCTTTAGGGTAACCCCCAATCAGACTGCTCAAATCTCAGCTTGTAGCAAGTAACAGAAATATATAAATAATGCAGCTTACATACTTCAATTACAAAGCAGCAAGCACAAAAGCATTTAAGATTTCATAACTGCACAATAATATTACTTTAATCGAACATCTAATGTTTTACCTTTTGTCTAGAACTACTTTGTAGGATGTCCATCTCCAGCAATGGACAGCAAAACAAAAAAAAAACACAATACATTAGAAGAGATCAAAATTTAGAGCCCCAAATGTATTAAGAAACACTTCTGTCGAAGTCTCATTTAATGCAAGCCTCTGCTAGTTACTGCCATTGCAGTGCTCCATTTCCTCTGCTTCTATTTTAATCACTATACCACAGAAATTCCTCTGAAGGGCCTACAGTTTTCATCATTCGACTCCCTGCAAACCCTCTGATTGTAACTTAGCCAAGAAAGAAGATGGCACACACAACAGCAATAAATTACAGCACAGCTATTCAGTTTAAACTACTTTTTAAAAATGTGTAGATGCATATTGTAAACAGGTGCCTTAAAACATGCATCTGAGCATCTGCTACCAGGATGTTTCCTTCCCCCAGTCTGTCCATCCTTATGTCTGCAATGGATCCAATCATTCCCAGGAAGATATTAGCCTCTCCACAACCTTTAGGTGCAAGTTTCCCCAATTAATATTTGTGCTAAAGGTACTGCTGCCTTTACAAGAAAAGGTCAGGCTTTTATTGCCAACATGATGCAACGTGTCCCATAAGCTCTAACTTGCAATTTTGAGTCTTAACAATTCTTACTCAAGACTTATTTGGAATTCAAGGCAACGTGGATTATCAAAGGCAGCCCCCCCCGCCTTTTCTTGCAAAGCCTTATCTAATAGTTTTGTTAATCTAATTAACACTTGCACATTTTTTCTCTAAAACTATTTAATGCAATTGAGGAGTGGGGAAAAAGACCTACTTCCCCAAGGCTTTGATCTATCTAATGCTTCCAACACACTAGAACTAGAGCAATCCTAAGAAAACCATCATCGTAGCAATTGTCACTAAGCTCAGTTAGAAAAAGTCATTTGGTGAAATGACAAAAATACACGATTCGAAGTGATCATGCAGAATAAAGCGGGATATACTACATGGATAGTACATGTGCACACATATTTACAGCTACACTATAACCTGGAATACTGTTTGTTTCGAAGACATGATGAAGCTAATGCAATGCTTGCTTAGTCAAAGTCACGGTTTGTGAGAACCAGCGGAGCAACCAGAGTCCACACGTACAACACGATGCCAATCCAGCTGGAAGATATCTTCACCCAGACAGATGGCCATTTGCTGGTCATTGTCTCATAAGAAGAATCCGGACTGTGAAAGAAATAAAATAGAAGTTTGCTTTTCTGTTTTAATATGACATAGTAGTATAGTAAGCTACTCTTCAACATTTTCAAAGAACACCTCTTCTACCCTTCTTCCAGTCAGTTCACACCAATCTGTATGAAAATGCCATTTGTAAGTTGATGTCATAGGAGATTGGAAAGCAACAGATGCTAAGAATGTACTTAATAAGAGAATCTGACAAGAAGCAGAAATAATTATTATGCAAATCTGTGGCAAGAGGAATTGGACAGTATTTACATATACCAGTAATGCAATTTACCTTGTGCAAAGACAACCCCTGAGACTTAATAATATTCTTATAATATTGGCCCAAGAAGGGCCACAAATCAAATCCAGAACATAACTATATTAAGAGTTACTCTAAAAGAAAATCTTTATAGTTCTGTTACTTTGGTACAAAGAGTTCATTAACAAATTATTAGAGACCTTTAATTTTTGTTTTGAATTCTGAGTAACATCTGCTCAAGCTGTTACACATCTGTTTGTGTATTAGCAAGTGTACATAGCGGAAAGACTACCCAAATAACTCACTGAATTCACATCTAGGAGTGCTTTTATTGGGTGTATCTTTCAGCAAGCAGGCAACTTAGTTTGCTTCCACTACAGATCCCATCTTAGAATAGATGATGTTAGAAGGACCTCTGGAGATCATATGCTCCAACCTCCCTCCTCAAGCAGAGACATCTAGAGCAGGTTGCTCAGCACCATATCAAGGCGGCTTTTGCATATCACCAAGGAGGGACACTTCACAACCTTTCTTGGGCAATCTGTGCTAGTGTCCTTGATAACCCTCACAGTGAAAAAAGCGTTTATTGATGTTCAGACAGGCTCTTGTGTTCTAGATTGTGTCCACTGCCTTTTGTCCTGTCACTAGACACCAGTGGAAGAGTCTCTTTGCACCCTCCCTTGAAGTATTTATACACATAGATGAAGTTTCACCTGAGTCTGTTCTTCTCCAAGATGAACAGTCCCAACTCTCTCAGCCTCTCCTCACAGGAGACGCTCCAGTACCTTCATCATCTTTGTAGGACTCTATCCATTACATCCAGGTCTCTCTTGTACTGGGGAGACCAGAGATAGATCCAACATTCTAAGCATGGTTTCACCAGTGCTGACTAGGTGGGAAGGAACACCTCCCTCAACCTGCTGGCAATTACCATGTCCTACCACTTTTTTCTAGTTCTGCCAGTAAACACCTGGTCTGTCCTTGTTATTTTTAGCTGTTATAAGACTTAATCGTCTTCACTTCAACAGGACATATTTCAGCAGTCCAGTGAATCATGAGAATTACTTTAGAAAAGACAATTGGTGCTTGTGACTACTGCAATTTTTAAATACAATTCATTAAATATGAATCAAACAGCAAACTTCCCTCAAGAAGTCCCAGTCAGGGCCCACATTCCTCACAGCACACCAGTTGTGAGCCACTGACCATCTAAATGTAGCTTCCTGTATGCGGAGTATTAGCATACTGTATTATCAAGCGTAGATACCTGTACCAGTTGGTAAGTGTCATCATGATATACAGTGAAGCGAGGAAAAGCATGAAATGAAAGAAGGAGTAACTGTAAGTAACTCCATCCCTTTCATTATCTATGGCTCGGTGCACATCCTCTCCATCATCAAGGGAGCCATCATTCCTGGGCATTCCATCCTCGATCAGAGTTGATTCATCGCTGGTCAGCATCAGCTTGTTAACTTGGCTGTTATTGGATGTTCGGATGCTGTATTTGACAGGAAAGGATGCAATACCGTTACCCAAGTGAATACAATTTAGTATCTAACAAACAGAAATTATACAAGCTAAAGTAGTAATACAAGCTAATACAAACTTACCTTGAATAGAGGACACACAGCAAAAACAAAATCAGTCCTACAATTCCTTGTGCATCCCACCACTGCACTACTTGACCTTGGGTTGGAATGGTGGTGGTATTGTAACCAATGATGCTCAGCAAACTTGGGTTACAGCGCCTATCTGTGAAGGAAATTACTTCAGAACTTGCATACACATTTAAATATTTGTTCTGTTCTTGTTTTATTTCTACAGCGAATGCAGAGTAATACAAAGAAATTTTGTGACCGAAGTCCTGGATGATAAAAGCTCCACATCTAATTGTAGCCTATAGAATCTCTAAAGCAGACAAATGACAGTATGTTACATAAAACTCTTGTACAAGTTTTAAATCCTTTATCTGCTCTACGTATCAAGTGCTTCACTGTTGCATCTCAATTAGATTCAACAAAGTAAAGGTGCTCTGCATATTAA